ACACAGCAGTCTTATATCCCACTAAATCAAAAAATTTTAACAATTTAGACTGTATGAAAGCTACATTGGTGTGATCCCTGTACCCCATCTTATGCACAATTCTTATTGCTCTTTTTTGTAATATATACAATGGTTGAAGTGAGCTTTTGTATGTATTTCCCCAGTTTTCAACGCCATACTCTAAGTATGGTAAAAATTATGCAGCAACAACAGTTGAAAGACGCAGGGGAAGGGCAAATTACATTTCGTCTCTGAGTATAGGTAGATCTAAGGAGAGACAGTGTCCTTGAAATAATTAATGCTGGATGGACAAATTGACTCTATTGTTATTCATAGTACGACTGAAGGAGAACACAGTCAGTCACATCTATAAAGGGGAAAATGTCAAATACTAAATCAAATGGATTTTGTGTGGCTTACTTTAGCATATTATTTAAAAAATATGGTGGTTCTCTGTAAGGTTGTTAAGTGTTTCTGTTTTAAATTGTGAAGTTTTGATATGCCATTTCCTTAAAATTTTGCCTTTTTTAAATTCCTCCACTGTGAATGTGTGATCTGACTTATTAATGGTCCATGGTAACGTCAGGTGGATTACATCCATTTTTAAAACTGATGTGCCTGGTTTTATCTAAAGTACCCAGGCTTCAGTAAGTAATAATACTTCAAACCAGGCGGGATGTTATATAGTTGAAGCAAGTGCACATCCTGTTCCAGAGGCACAGTGCCTCATTTATCACCTGCCACATTTGTTTTATACTTTCCAACTTATTTCTGATTAATTAGTGGTTTTTCAGTTTCAGAGGCACAAACTAATACTGTTATTAAACTCCCATGTGCACCTAAATACACCAAGTTATGCTGGGGAGAACTGTTTAAAACCAGCTGCAAAACAAGCAACTTCCTGTGTCACCTAAAGATGTGAACAAATGTTACTTTACCTATTTTGTTCTTACCACATAATTTAAAAGCTACACCAGATTATCTAACCTGTTAAATCAGTCATTTTGTGTTGGATTAAAAACAAAATGGTGGCACTCACCAAATACAGTGCGTGCAGGAACCGATTCTCTGTTTAGCCAGAAGGAGACCTGAGACAGTATGACAGTCATGATGCATGGCAGGTAGGTTTGAATCACAAAATAGCCAATTTTTCTTTTCAAATGGAAATATGTTGTCATCACTACATATTCTCCTGAGGGAGAGGACAGAAACAGAAACACACAGGGTCATAATTATTGATATAGTCATGCCCAGTTGGATTTATTAAAGTTATAATATTGCATCATCAAAGTAGCTCCTAGTATTAAGTCCCTTAGATGAGCCATTAAACAATATGAAACTGTAGAAAATGTCAGTTAATGTCACACGACATAATGTGCACTTTCTACAAAAAGTCACATAACCAGCCTCGATTTCACAGTTTAAATTATAAAATAGAGAAGCAAAGAAAGTGTCAAGTGACATGATAGATTACATCACTGCAGATTTGATGATAGTCTGAAAATTGTCTTAGTTAAAAGACTGTAGACGTCATGGCACAGGAGCACTTCCTGTTCCTCCTCAAAATAAGACAACTGTTGGACAAACCTTGAATTGAGGCACTGAGCACTGGAAGTCTGGAAAATAAGGTTGCATATAGAGTACCCCAGTGTCACGCCTTTCAAAATGTTAACAAACCTCTGAATGTCATTATGGACAGCAAGAGACTCTACCTCAAAGTTTAGTTCTTGGAGCCAGACTGCTTTCAGCGCTCTACCCAGTCTTCTTGCATTGCTACTGAAGCTGCTGGCTGGTTGATCTCTTTGCAAATTAAATGGCAACTATATTATTTGCAAGAAGTTCTAAGTTGCCATTGTATAAAAGTATTGTATAAAAGGTTTCTGCAGTAGTATTGATGAGAATTTCAGTTTATTCAGAAATGTGGGCTGTCAGATTTTCCTTTAATTCTCTGTTTATAATGTTGACTCTAGCCTATAGACCAAAACAGAATGGAAATAAGACTTTCACCTCTTTCACACCTCATATTATCTCTGTAAATGTGCTGAATAGTTTCCAAAAACCTGATAAGTCATCATTTTTCAGTGGGTCCAAATAATGCAAGCTGAATCCAAAATGACAGAAACTGGAGAACAGTACAGTGCAGACTGTTATTTTATGCAAACATAACAGTCAACAGAAAAGAGGGAAGGCAACTGATCCGACCATAAATTTATACAGGAAAAACTGATTTGTACTGTATCATTCAAGTGTGCAGTAGGCGTTCTGTCCCATCATACACTAATTTTGTTTCACTGCTTGCAGTACCCCCCATCAAATTGACAACGTTTGCTTTGCTGACCACCCTGCACACATTGCAGATATATGGTACAAGCTTAATATGGTGGTTTGGTTGAGGCCCTGACCTTTTGCCTGTTCGAACATACAATTTAATTTGATTTAATTTTGAGTATACTGCTGTCTGGGCTGAGGAATGGCATATAATGTATGTACCTGTGCTGGATCTGATGGTTTCTTTGCCAATAACATGTCCCAGTAAATCATACTGGTTCAGCCTGGAGCCGTCTTCTGCCACAGCAACGGACCTCTCATCTCCCTGGGTCCACAGGTAGATCACCTCGTTATTGGTGTAAGCATCTGGGCAACAGTGTTTTTTTTAAAGTTAAGATATGGATTAAAAACCAATGTACAGAGACATTTTTCTCTTTTCTGTGAAAGCTGTGGAAAATATGATCAACAGTTGCTATGACATAGAGAGGTGGTGTAGAAAAATCAGTGTCAAGAAATACAGGAAGTTTGTTTTCAATACAGAAGTGAGACACTGAGTCCACGTCAACATTTTTTTTTACTTATCCAGTGAAATATTGAGCTTGTTAGCATACTGACATTAGCTCAAAACACAGTTGTGCCTACAGTAAGTACAGCCTCTCAGAGCTGTCAGCATGACTATAGACTGTAAGCTAATGTGGCAGCTAAGTAAGGATAGTCTTTTAAAAACCATGATAGCGCTCAGCCACTTCTCTGTTTAGCAGTCCCTTGAAGCATGAAACCCAGTGGGTGCTCCTTCGCTGAACAAATGTGCATATTACATCACTAATTATACGCACTTTATATATAATTTTCAGGAGTAGGAGCACCCACTCGGCTTATGTTTCAACCCATACAGTGTGCATGCATAAAGCGCTGCAGACAGTGGCTGAGCAGAGCCGATCCTGCAGCAGCAGCCATGTTGTAACTCAATTCTCACAAAATAGTTCATATAATATCAGCGTGACTGTCTAAGAGAAAAGAGTTGTGAATATGAACACACAGAGATCTATTTGGTTCATTTTACGCCGCTAGAACAGATTCGCGCATGCACGTTGTTTCAGCTTGTTCTGTCTCCTGACTCTACAAACTGGATGGTTGAGCATTGCCCTTGCTCACAGGTACTTTTATTTCACAACTTTGCCATACAAGGATACTGTGTCCAAAACCCTGTGTCCCACTCCAAATACATCCGTATCGGAACATACACCATGCAGTTAACCCCACTGCTACATCCCTTTTCCTTTTGGAACGAAAATGTTTTCTTCAACACCTACATACAGTATAATATATATCTAAACTATAACATCTGCACAAGTTAACACAACTTAATATAATGTACAATTCTCAATCCTAGTGCCTAACATCTTTGTATTTCTGTTTATCATATCTCTAAACAAACATTTGTTCCACATGAACTAAAACATTTGTTCAACCTAAACATTTATTCAACATAACTTCCTCCTTTCTCTCCTTTCCGTATTGAAACTAATGTCACTAAGTACACACAAAGTCCCTTAAGTATCCAGGTGGATGTACAACTCGACCTGCCCAAGTTACAACAGTCTGTGATTTCCCCATGTGCGGTGTTGTCACGGAGTCCCCGTTTCTGTCAGGCTGTGTTGGGTTCCGTATTTGGGCTGCCATTTCCACCTCTTTCCTCAGATGTCGACGGTTCCTCCTGAGGATTTTTCCCGTGCCAGTCTCCACTTCCCAGATATGGATCCTGCCCAGCCATTTTGGCTTTTCTCATCAGCCGTTTGGCAGTCTTTACGGCTGATTCTGCCTTTCCGTTGCTTTGTGGGTAGCCAGGTGAGGAGGTTGTGTGTGTGAAATCCCATATTCGGCTGAACTCTGCAAACTCTGTTGAACTGTACTGGGGTCCATTGTCAGAAACAACAACATCCGGGATTCCCTATCGTGCGAAATGGGCTTTTAGTTTTCTGATTACCGTGCTTGATTTTGTATCTGTCAAATAGTCAACCCCCTCCCTGAACTGCCACCTTATTGTGGTGGGGAAGTTTGAGTACCCGAGTAATCCTAGGAGCTATGTTGTCAGGGGCTATATGCCCCTGGTAGGGTCTCTCTAGGCAAACCGGTCCTAGGTGGTGGGTCAGACTAAGAGCAAAAAAAAAAAAGCCCTTTATGAATAGAATTTAATCAAAGACCGTGATGTCGCTCGGCATGGCACAACCGGGGCACCACCCTGGAGCCAGGCCTGAAGTTGGGGCTCAAATGCGAGCGCCTGGTGGCCGGGCCTCCCCTCATGAGGCCCAGCCGGGCCTAGCCCAAACGAGTGACGTGGGGACGTCCTCCCGTGGGCCCACCACCTGCAGGAGGATACATAAGGGGGTGGTGCACAGTGGATCAGGCAGCAGTCGAAGGCAGGGTCCCCGACAACCCGATCTCTGGACATGGCGACTAGCCCTGAGGACATGGATTGTCACCTCGCTGGTGGGGAAGGAGCCCGAGCTTGTGCAGGAGGTTGAGAGGTACCGGCTAGAGATAGTCGGGCTCACGTCCATACTCAGCTTGGGCTCTGGAACCTTACTCCTTGAGAGAGGCTGGACTCTCTACTACTCTGGAGTTGCCCACGGTAAGAGGCGGCGGGCTGGGGGGGGCTTGCTCATAGCCCCCAAGCTTAGCCACCATGTGTTGGAGTTTACCCCAGTGAACGAGAGGGTCGTTTCCCTGTGCCTTCGGGTCAGAGATAGGTCTCTCACTGCCATTTGTGCCTATGGGCCGAATGGCAGTGCAGAGTACCCGACCTTCTTGGAGTCCCTGGGAAGGGTGCTAGAAAATGCCCCGACTGGGGACTCCATTGTTCTACTGGAAAACTTCAATGCTCACGTGGGCAGCGACAGTGATACCTGGAGGGGCGTGATTGGGAGGAATGGCCCCCCCAATCTGAACTGGAGTGGTGTTCTGTTACTGGACTTCTGTGCTAGTCACAGTTTGTGCATAACAAACACCATGTTCAAGCATAAGGGTGTCCATCAGTGCACGTGGCACCAGGACACCCTAGGCCGAAGGCCAATGATTGATGTTGTGGTTATTTCATCTGACCTCTGGCCGTATGTCTTGGACAGTCGGGTGAAGAGAGGGGCGGAGTCAACTGATCACCACCTGGTGGTGAGCTGGATGCGATGGTGGGGGAGGAAGCTGGACAGGCTCAGCAGATCCAAAAGTATTGTGAGGGTCTGTTGGGAACATTTAGCAGAATCCCCTGTCAGAGAGATCTTCACCTCCCACCTCCGGCAGAGCTTTGACCAGATCCCGGGGGAGGTTGGAGACATTGTGTCTTAATGGACCATATTCTCCACCTCCATTGTCGATGCGGCCATTCGGAGCTGTGGACATAAGGTCTCCAGTGCCTGTCGTGGCAGAAATCCCCAAACCCGGTAGTGGACACCGAAAGTAAGGGATGCCGTCAAGCTGAAGAAGGAGTCCTTTTGATGTTTCGGATGCCTCCTGGGCGCCTTCCTAGGGAGGTGTTCCGGGCATGTCCCACCGGGAGGAGGCCCCAGGGAAGACCCAGGACACGCTGGAGGGACTATGTCTCTCGGCTGTCCTGGGAACACCTCGGCATCCCCCCGGAGGAGCTGGAGAAAGTGTCTGGAGAAAGGGAAGTCTGGACATCTTTGCTTAGACTGCTGCCCCCGCGACCCGATTCCAGATAAACGGAGGAAAATGGATGGATGGATGGACAAATAGTCAACCTCCCAGAAGTTTGAATAGTAGTCCAAAGTTATTAGATAGTCTTTGTTATTGAAGTTGAACAAGTCCGTTCCCAATTTAGCCCAGGGTCTGTCAGTGATCCCATGTGGCTGCAGTGTCTCCTTTTGTTGTTTTGCATCCACGGACCTACATACATCACATTTAGCAATGAATTTCTTGATGTGATCATTCATACCATACCAGTATATACTGTCTCTTGCTCTCCTGAGCCATCCCTCCATCCCCAGGTGTGATGAGTGAATGCGCTGTGTGATGTCGCTTTGGAGTGTGTCTGGTATCACAACTCTATCCCCTCTGAAAACTAGTCCATCCTGTGTGCTTAGTTCTTCCTGTAGTGAGTAATAGTGTGTTATTTCCACAGACACATCTTTTTTGCAATTTGGCCATCCTTTCCGTATCATTCGTATTAGTCTTTGCAGTTTAGAGTCTGCCCGTGTTGCTGCTCGGATTTTTTCCATCCTTTCTCCTGAGACTGGCACATAGTCAACCATATTGACATATTCAGTCTCTAATTCTGTCTGGCTCTTGTCACTGTTTTGTATGTATGCCCTACTCAGAGTGTCAGCGAGTAACATGTTCCGCTCTGGAACATATGTGATGTACAGATCATATTTTTGTAGTCTTAATAGCATTCTTTGCAATCGTTTAGGTGCGTTTGTCAGTGGTTTCTTGATGTTCTCTAGAGGTTTGTGATCTGACTGTACCTTTACGAGTCGTCCATGTGTGTACCGGATGAAATTTCTCTATTCCATACACTATAGCTAGACACTCCTTTTCAATTTGTGTGTATCCTTTCTCCGTCTGCATTAAAGTGCAACTTGCATTCGCCACTGGCTTGCCTTCTTGTGTCAGAGCAGCTGCCAGCCCTGTTTCACTTGCATCACACTGCACTGTCAGCTCATCTTCTGGGTTGTAATAGCTCAGAACTGGAACTTGCGTTATTTTTTCTTTCAGTCTTTTAAATGTGCTGTCCTGCACATCTGTCCACTCCCACAGACTCTCCTTGTGTGTGAGCTGTTGGAGGATCTCGCAGTCATCTGACAGGTGCTCGTAAAACTTGGATAAGTAATTTACCATTCCTACCAGTCTCTGAACAACTTTCACCTCCGTTGGTGCAGGCATTTCTGCAATGGCACGCACCTTCTCTGGGTCTGCCCTTAGTCCCTCTGCTATGAGCAGGTGCCCAATGTATGGAACTTCCTGCCTCCTGAGCTTGAATTTGTCTGCATTCAGTTTAATATTTCTCTCTCTGCACCTTTCCAAAAAAAGTCTCAAGTTTTTGTCGTGGTTTTTCTCTGCCTTTTGTTTTGTCTCATCTTCTCCTGTGATCAGGATATCATCAGCAATGATATACGTGCCTGTCAGGTTTTCGAGTGCTTGTGTCAGCTTCCTCTGAAAGACCACTGGCGCTGGGCTGATTCCCATTGGCATCCTCAGCCAACGAAATCTGCCAAACGGAGTAGCAAATGTGGTCAGATAACTTGACTCTTCTGCTAGTTTCACGTGCCAAAAGCCAGTTTGACATCACACACTGTGAAAACTTTTGCTTTTGCTAGTTCTGGCAAAATAGTTCTGGACTCCTCAGTTCCTCTTTTAGCACCTCCATCATGGCCACAGGGACTCTGCGCTTTGGGAGTTTCACTGGCTGTACTGTAGCATTCATTCATTCATTCATTTCCTACCGCTTAGTCCCTGAACGGGGTCACGGGTGGGGCCGGAGCCAATCCCGGCCAGCAATCGGGCGAGGGCGGGGTACACCCTGGACAGGTCGCCAATCCATCGCAGTGTACTGTAGCATCAATTTCTAATTTATATTCACCCTTCAAAAAGCCATCTCCTGTGAACACATTTTGGAATTCCATTTTTATTTCCTCCACTGTCTATGCACTTTCTCCTAGTGGTTTTGTTGTCACTATTTCATCCAGAGCATAGATGTTTTCATATTTGACTTGAAGGAGTTTCATCGCTTCACTTGCTTTTCTGCCCAGTAGAGGGGCTTTGTAGTGTTCTCCTACTACTTGAAACTCGACTCTGTATCGTTTTCTGATTCCTTGGATTTGTCATTTTGACCTTGCGTTTTCCCAGTGGGCTCAGCCTTGACTTGTTATACATCAACAGCACCTTATCTGTGCGCTCTATCTTCACATCCGGGTTCAACAGGCTGATTGGAATGACATTGTAGCACCAAAGTCTATTTGAAAGTCCACGGTATTGTTTCCCACCCTCATTCGTGCAAACAGTTGTTCTGATTTGCTCTGCTCCTCTCTAATCTGGTTCACTTCTGCTTTTTGTGTTACTGCTGTTACAGTCATAATGTCCTCACAGGAATCTGAGTCATGTTCTGCCACAGTGTGGACAGGTTTTCGGTACTCTTTGTCTCCTGCCTTGCTTCTGCATGTTATTGCAAAGTGGTTTTCTTTGCCACATTTTTTGCATTTCGTTCCATAAGCTGGACACTTTGCCTTGAGCCTTTCATGTGTTTTGCCACAATACCTGCAGTATATGTCATTGACTTTTCCTTTCTTTGTTGTCTGTTTGATTGCATGCACATCCTCCATACCTTGAGCTTCAATGGTTTTGCTATGCTCCTGTGAGATCTCCATAGCTCTGCAAATCTGTAGACATTTATGTAATGTGAGATTATCCTCTCTCAGCAATCGTACTCTCCAGGTGCAGCTGCATGTGCCACAGACTATCCTGTCTCTAATCAGTGAGTCTTTTAATTGTCCAAAGTTGCATGCGCTAGCCAGCATACTCAGATTCGTAACATATTTATTTAGGTTTTCACCTGGGGCCTGATTCCGAATAAAAAATTGATACCTTTACACTGTCTCATTAACTGTGGGATTACAGTGTTCGTCAAAATTTTCAATCAAGCCGGTTACCGTTGGTGAAGCCTCTGCGCCGGTCAGTGTGTCACACAGCTCTCTCCCTCGCTCCCCTATGAGGTAATAGAATAGCTTTGTTTTTTCCTTTTCCTCTGCATCCGGCATCGCTAATTCCATATAAAGTAGAAACTCTTCTTTCTATGTTTTCCACAACTTGCTCAGATTCGTGGAATCCAAACACAATTGCACCGGCGGTTTTAATCCTTCCATGGTTGCTGCTTCACTCTGTTACTTCTCCAGAGTTAACATTGAGTCATTGCTAGCCACCTAGCATAGCCGCCACCCGTACACTCAGTTTCTCACGTTCCGAAAGCGATAGCAAGTCCTTTACGACTTAGGAAACTTCAAAACACCGCTGCCACCATGTTTCAGCTTGTTCTGTCTCCTGACTCTACAAACTGGATGGTTGAGCATTGCCCTTGCTCACAGGTACTTTTATTTCACAACTTTGCCATACAAGGATACTGTGTCCAAAATCCCATCTCCCACTACAAATACATTCGTGTCGGAACATACACCGTGCAATTAACCCCATTGCTACACACGTAATCGCACACACACGAACACATGAGGACTGGCACACACACACACACAGACCTACACTGGATCAATATAACATCAAAAATGATATGCACTTTATTAAATCTGACACTGACAAAACAAAAAAACAAACATCAAAATCAATGTTGATGCCAATCACTGGCCCATGTCAGGGCCTAATAATAATAACAATCCCTTTGTGGTTGAAATGTATTTTTTGGAAATTATTTTATTTTTTCATTTTTTTTTCACATAAAAAACATGGGAGTTATGTAAACATACAGGCCTATAAAGGGATAAAAATTCCAGAAATATAATTCATATTTGATATGTATAAAAGATTGGCTAGTTTAAAGTGGAAAAAATATCAATTTATAATAATTTTATAGCTATGTTTGGGAATGTGTCAGATTTTGGTCCTAGGGACAATTGTGTGATTTTTTTGTCAGGATCTCCAGAGGGACATATGTGCTGATTTATAGGCTTAAAAAAATCAAGGTGTCAGTATGTTCTGGTGGACATTGTTATGGAGAGTTTCTACATTTCATTAAACATACTTTTACATTTCTGTACTGCAAGTTCCTGTTACTTAATGGCCAAATGTTTGTAAATACTGATATGTTAGTATGCAGTAAGCAAGCATTGGCCCACAAGTGAGAAATATTCATCCTCACTCACCGGCCACTTCATTATTATTCTTATTATTTATTCATTATTACCTGTACAATTGTACACAATAAAATGTAACACTTCCACCTTAACATTTATGAAGCTCAAAATGTGTCAGTTTTTGGTGAAATTGTCATTCAATTATATGTTTATTATTGAGGTCATAGTTAAATGTGCTCTTTTACTGGACAACATTATATTTAGAAGTGTCTGTATATTTTTGTTCTCTCCAGCTACATAGAGAGAGAGTCAGAATATTAGGATCACCTCATATAATGTAGTCCAGTACAACACCACTATTAACTAGGACCTCAATAATAAGCATATAATTGAATTTATACATTTATGGAAATTTCACCAAAAGCTGAAAATGTTTGAGCTTTATGTATATACAGAGATGTATAATCATACAGGTGTACCTAATAAAGTGGCTGGTGAGTGTATAAAAAGATGCATGCACAGATTTTCTAATTTAGTGTGTTAAATGCATTTTTGGCTCACCTGTATGAAGGGAACTCTCATATCAAGCTGATAGCTGACTACTTTTGCTGTTGCTAAAAAGCAACACATTTAAGCCTGACAAGTGTCCCTAGTATTATATTGCTAGGTGTGCTTTTAACACCTGCAGAGACCACCACTCTCAGTGCAATTTTATATTAAAAACCTTGTTTTCTTGTTACTATCTGGACTGACTTACAGCTTCCAAACTTCAGAGGACAGGCATGTGCATCCATCGGAAAATCCTCCAGGTGCATGGGGCACTCAGCGTGAATGGTCAACCTGAGGGTGGCAGAAATGGGGAGAGACAATACTTACTGGTCAGGCTGCAGTATGGCGGTTGTTATGAACATATCGTGACACATGTCACAGAACACAAAATACAGATTGCATTGCATAGAACACAATTCACTGTCGATTCACTGTCATCTTGCATAAATAAATCAGAATGAGCAAAAATGTCGGCCATGAGTTCTCCAGGAATTTTGATGCCACAAACCAGTAATTTTTTGAGAGGGCTGCCCTCTCTCTCTACCCTCCTATACCCACTCTGTCAGTGGTAATGAGTGCTCAGCTGACTGACAACAAAGAAAAAAACTGCAGAGAGCATCAAAGTTTTTAATTTGTACTTTGTAAATAAATAGAGAAATGGTCCACATTATGTTACCCATACATGTTTTTGCTGAGACAAAACAATAAACCCTTTAAACCATCATACAGTCCTGAGTTACTCAAAAGTGGACCTCAAACTTGGTTATTGAAACAATTACAACACTTATAGTGTATGTATGAATTCAAAACTGGATTATTTGAACAAGTAATTGTTGGTTAATGTGTAATTGTCATTTGTACATGTCAGCTAACCTGAATGTAGCTGACAACATCTGCAATGTCATGCATTCATTAGAAATATTTTTGAGTCTTGGTGGTGTGTAGGGTGTTTTACATGTAAACTTGTATATTATATGAAGAGCATGGCCAAAAAAAGTAGCCAATGATCAGATTCAATTGGTCTCACAATTATAAAAAAAGTGTGCCATCTTCCAGAATGTTCTACATATCGAGTTTATTGCATCCATTGTATTAGATGTAGCAATATCATGGCCCACGTCTATAGTCCGATTTATTGTTTCTAACCCTTGCAGAAAGCCTGTGCACCCATTTTCCACCCTCTTGGCTGCTCTCTGATGCTGCCTCATTGCCCATAAGTGATAAGTGGAAAATACATAAATGATCACAGTGCAACATCAATCAAACGTGAGGAACGCGCTACTGCATATCATACAGTAGAGCCCTGTATGTAGTAGAGATATTCAATTCAATTTTATTTGTATAGTGCCAAACCATTTATTATTAGGGTACTATGGTAATGCACTTCACACTTAACATATTGTAAAGATAAATAAATGTACTGTGGGTACGGAAAGTATTCAGATCCCCTTAAATTTTTCACTCTTTGTTATATTGCAGCCATATGCTAAAATCATTTAAGTTCATTTTTTTCCTCATTAATGTACACACAGCACCCCATATTGACAGAAAAACACAGAATTTTTGACATTTTTGCAGATTTATTAAAAAAGAAAAACTGAAATATCACATGGTCATAAGTATTCAGACCCTTTGCTGTGACACTCATATATTTAACTTAGGTGCTGTCCATTTCTTCTGATCATCCCTGAGATGGTTCTACACCTTCATTTGAGTCCAACTGTGTTTGATTATACTGATTGGATGTGATTAGGAAAACCACACACCTGTCTATATAAGACCCTACAGCTCACAGTGCA